ATAAATTGGTTTAACTGGTTTGAACTGCAGTTTGCACTAGCAGTTGGTTTGGTTTGTTATCTAAACTGCCGGTTTAAAAACTGAACTAAACTGATACCATCCCTATGCGTAATGTTTATGTGGTCATGAAAGCCATACTATCTAGGGGTTAGATAAATAAACGGGAGGGCCAACTCAAATGTTACACAGGCTGATCAAACTGAAGCCTTCATAAATTAGTTACACGAACAAAATTTCATATTAAAAATTCACTTTTTTTATTTCTCGACACATATACGTAAGAAAGTAACTGATCCTAGAAGTTATGTTAGATCTACATAGGTGTAGTTTTTTCATCCAAATTAAGCCACTGGTTGGTTTCTTTTTTAGTTTTATATGTTTTTATTACTTGATAATAGAGAGTTAGAAATTATATATATATATTTTTTTTTTGAGATCTCAATAAAAAGTTATAAATATTTTTACTTAAAATGTTTAAAAATAGTGTTTTCTTGTTTTATTATGTATTATTTCAAGTATTTAATATATTTTTATATAATTTTGAAGTATTTCAAATAGCTGATCCGATTTTTTAAAAGATATAAAAGTGAAACTTTGACAAAGATTATAGATTTGAATAGTTTCGCATTTCATTGTTTTCACATGATAATTTTTTTTCATAGATCATCTTGATTATCGGCCAATCTATCACTTTAAACATGGGGTAATATTACATTTTAATATATCATGTATTGTTTTCTGCGCATAGTAATGTATTCCCAAAGAGGCATTTGTGGAGGTGAAGATCTTTTTTTTTTAATTGGCAAATGGTTGATGACAGTTTTCTATTCGTTGCCATTGTCTTACAATACGAAGGAAATATCACGTGATTATTTATTCCGAAAAAAAAAATATTGATCATATGTAATTTGTATGTGTCATTTGATTATTAATAAATGATTTTTCGCGTATTATTATTTGTATTATAACGCAATGAGCAATGACGTGATCGTTACATAATACATTACTTTAAGTAAAATTTTCTTTTAATATGAAAATATAACAAAGAAAACAAATAATAGAAATGTCTTAGAATTGTAGAAACTTACTACTTGTATTGATAAATCACACAATTCAAGATACTGTATAGTTAAATTTTCGACAATGCAAACTCAATACATAATATTTTGATAGCCATCTTTGAAGATTACAACCCAACAAACAACAAATTTACGTGTTTAACTTACTTTCAATCGTTATAATACGTGCAAATATAATTGATGTCTTAAATTAATTCACTCCTTTGACAATAAGTCTTATTAACATTAACACGTATTCTGTTCAAAAGTTATAAAAGCAGGCCTCTCAAAGGTACCTTGCTCAAACTACAAGTAAAATAAAAAAAAAATTTTATACTTAAAAAACGCAACTTCTCAGCCAAAAATGCAAACAACTACTTTCGATTCCAACTTTTCGATTTTTGACAAAAAGTTCATTTCTGTTGTCCCAAATGAATGTTCCCACTCTATTGATATGGAACCATTAGATGGTGATCAATTCTGGCCAAAAAAACATAAATCGCCCAATAAGTTGAAAAAAATTATTTCCAAGACATTTAAATCTCTCAAACGCAAAATACTCCGCAAACCAAGTAAAGTCGCCGTGACCAAAGAAACCATGGTTTCTGAAATTACATCTTTCTCAACTGATGACGTTATAATTGAAATTGATGAAATTGATGATATAGATGAAATAATTGATATTTATTCATCAATTCCGGAATCGTTGGATAAAGATGAACCTAATTCGTCTAATATCGTCGAATATGAAGCATCATCTACATGCACTTTAGCCGAAAATAATATCATCGATCATATCGAAAACGAATCTACCAAATGCAATCCCATGGAAACAAATTCAATCCTTTATATTCCTTATGAAAGTGTTGATAGGACGATCAATATACTGCGCAACATTTCGGATTGCGAGTTGAAAACGTTAATCGAACAAAAATTCATTTATCCTTTGAGCGAAGATCCCGTTTTTGTTCGTATCAATGATTATTATGAAGATTCTATCGATAAACACGATGAAAGGATTTATGATATTGATTTTTTAAATTATTTGATTAACATAAAGAAAGCATATATTGGATTTATAGCAATTTTGAATTTAGATTATCTTCTATATTTTCGAATGTAAAATAAGGAAGATTCGGTTATATTAAACATGGTTAATTTTTACTCTATTAAATATATATGTTTGTGATGATTATTTTAAATTTACATACTTAATATTTTATTAAAATCTTATAATTTGTCAAGTATAATATGGCATTTGTTTATCTAATAAAAATCTCATTTAACAATGCGCTTATATTATTATTTTTTTTTATTTTGAAAATTGATTTATTAAAATAATACAGTATACAGTATATAATCTAATTTAAATCCGAAATTTTTATTTATAACATATTGCTAGCAAAAAGTTAACCTGATTCGGTATTGTCGTTGTTTGAAGAAAACTTTTTTCAACCATTTCCTTCTGTCGTTATTGCTTTCTAGAGTTCGTCCATAAATTCAACACAGCTTCAATACATGTATCCTCTTAGATCAAACTTGATGATGCACTTGACGTTCTCTGTGAATGTTCGTTCCATGGTAACTTGTAATTCCTTTGGTTATTGTAAATTAGGTGCTTTCCTTGCTCAACATAGAATTTTGAGCATTTTTGATGGTCGCAAATTCGATGCCCACCACGCCTTTCATTTCTGATTATTATATATTTGTTTTTAAGAGTAGAAATTTTGATTTTTTTTTTTCATTAGCTATAGCGATAGATAGTTGGATGTTCAGGTACTATATATAGGTAAAATTTTTATTTTTATTTTTATTTTGATTTTGATTATTATATTAATTATTTTAATTTTAATATATTTTTTAGGTTTTTTTTTTTTCAGATTCATGACTTCAACTTTTATTTCTTAGATGACTTTATTAGGCGATTTCTTTCAGCCTCAAATGCATTTGTAAGTTTTTTTTATTATTTATAAATTATTTTGCTTTCGCGCTGGCTGAGAAAAAAAATAATGAGTCATTCAACGGATAAAAAGATTAAAGTTAAAATTAATTTTTAAAGTATTGTGATAATAATCTGGATGATTTACGACTATGAAAGAACTCAGCATTAAAAAAAAACGCGATTTAAAACAGATTACTTATGATAAAAAGAAAATAATTTTCATGGTCTCATTGATGAGACGAAGAAAATCAAATATTTTTATAGTGTCAATTATAAACAATATTATAAACCACCTTGTACGATTAATATTAATACTTAATGTTGAAATTATTTTACAATTCAAAATTCTTTTAACACTTATATTTAAATTACATCAATCGTATTCTATTAAAGTACAATACACTTGCCCGCTCATTAGATGACAGTAATGTTCATTTGTCCAAAAATAATCTCTATAGATAGTTCTTCAGCGCCTGAATCCGAACAGTCCATTTCTAAATTAAATAAAAACGTCACTACAGACTCATCACATCATAATCTTTAATACTTTATATATTAAAACATGCGCTCGGTTGCTTGGGAAAAAGCGGTATCTTTGTACCACTAACTATATTATCAGAGTTATTTCAGTACCACGTCGAGCTAAACTAACAAATTGTACGATATGCCCATCGGAGATTTTTCTATCAATTAGGTCTCATTCCGACTTAAATAGGATCTTTAAATTCTTCAATAATATAATAAAGTTTAATATCTTGTAATCATCAGACAAAATCAATTTGGAACGGATGTAGCAGGTCGAAAATTTTTTTTGAAATTATATTCATTGTTCATTACCAACCCAGACTAAGAAAAATGCGGAGTTAAATTTGATATCATTATTCTTGAAAGAAAAGGAATAATTATAAGTTATAATAAATTTTTTAATATTTTTATTTGCACGATAAATTACTTTCTCAAATTAGCATTCGGTCGGTTAGCAAATTGTAAGACCGCTGTTAAGAAATCGACATTTACGAATGACGCACCTGCGGAATAATAACGAAAATGAAAAAAATATCAATTATATTTATTATATAAGTTATGTATGTATGTATGCTAAAATAATTTTCGTTTTTATATTTGATTTATTATACATAATATAATTTTAGATGAATTATATTTGTTATTTTTATTGTTCGTCATATTGGTTTTATTAATTATTTCTATTTTCGTTATATTTTTTTTTTAATAGAAAAAGTTAGTATTTAGGATTTATGATATAAACCCCGAAATTCCGCCTTGATCAAAGAATAAGATTGACAAATGGAAAAGGCGTCCGAAATCTTGAAATAATAAAATTCCACTTTATGCTTTCAACCGTTATCGTGTCTCCAGACTAATAAACAACTACACAAAGAATAGTTTTAAGTAAATTGTTGTATAAAACTTTCTTAAGGCGGCCCTGAGTTAGAGTTAACCGATTTTGAACCAAAACCAAATTAACCAACAACGACTTTAAACCTAACTCTGGCACGTCCTAAGAAAGATTTATTCAACTTTTCTTAATACGATTCTTTTGTGTAATTGGTTATTATAATCAAGTTTATATGGAGACACGATAAAGGTTGAAAGTATAAAGTGGCATTTTATTCTTTCAAAATTTCGGATCTCTTTTCCCAAGACTCGTCAATCTTATTCTTTGAACAAAACGAATTTCTGGTTTATATACAAAATTTCTAAATACTAACTTTTTCTATTTAAAAATAAATATAACGAATTTAATAAAAATAACAATTATAATAAAATTAAGAAATATATATTAAATCAACAAATATTATTTTTCCGCTGTTATTTGCGCCATTCGTAAGTGCCGATTTCTTGTAAACCCGCATTCCGCATAAGCAGCAAATAAATAATAATTCCATTTTAAAACTTATTTAACGGATCAATAGATTTCAAACTTTAAAAAATCAATACAAATTACAAAAAAAAAATTGGTAGCGACCTTGACCCAAATATCTGGCCCACCTCCGGTTGTACCCGACCCGGATCCAATCCATCTCAATTTGTAAATTCTACAAGTAACACTTGCCAAATCCGGAATATAATAAATACCAATAAAATCATATTTTTTTTTTTTTCTTTTTAAGAAAAAATTTGTAATATGATCCCCAGCACTTTGGAAAAAACTAAGAACTACGAACAATATATACTTGAGGAAGAATACGGTTTATGTCCTGATTGCGAACAACCAAAAACTTATGATTGGTGGTGTCGAAACTGCAATTCAAAACTATTACAACAAAATTTTAGCAAGTGGACGAGTGGAAATGAACATATCGATAAATTTATCCAGGAAACTCAATTGAATGCAAGAAAGGAACATGAATTATTAGAATGGATCCCTTATGATCGTTTAAGAAATATAAAATATCTTGATAGAGGTGGTTTCAGCACTATTTTTAAAGCTATTTGGTTGGATGGAGCGATTTGGAAATATATTAGACATACACAAAAATGGGTAAGATTCATTGAAGATATTGAAGAAGTTGACAAGGAATTAAAAGAAGAGGACGTTATCTCTCCCCTTAAGGATGATGAAAAAAACGGACTTTATGTAGCTCTCAAGAGTTTAGACAATTCTTCAGACATTCATAAAGACTTTTTTGGATGAGGTAAGTTTTCAATTCAAGTTCATAAATTCAGTTAAATATTTTTTGTAATAATATTCAAATATATTATTAAATTAAATATCTAGTGGAAAAAGTATCTACAATTCATTTGTTCAGTAAATAATCATAATTCATCTTTTATGGTAATTTATGGAATAACTCAAGATCCTAAAACGATGAATTATATGTTCGTATTAAAAGAAATGAAACTTGGTAGTTTAAAATCAAATCTTATGATAAAAAAATATAATCCGAACGATAAATATGGGAACCTATTTCACATTGCCACTTCACTTTCCGCTTTGCATGGATGTAATTTTTTTCATGGGGATTTTCATAGTGGCAACCTACTTTTGCAACATCAAAATTGTGTTTATGTGAGTGATTTGGGATTATGCAGATCTTCCGATCACTTTAAAAATCCTGATGATATTTATGGAGTACTTCCTTATATGGCACCAGAGGTTTTACGTGGCAAACCATATACCCAAGCTTCCGACATATATTCTTTTGGTATAATTATGTGGGAATACACATCAGGAGTTCCCGCTTTTCACGATGTCCCTCATGATTATAATCTAACTATAGATATTTGTCGAGGGTTAAGACCAAAAATAATTGAAAATACCATTCCGGAATATGTAGAAATAATGAAAAGTTGTTGGGATTCGGATCCAAATAAACGACCAAGTGCTGATGATCTGGTAAATAAATTTCATACATTAAGGAAAAAATATCCATTTAAAGTCGATAGGGTACCTGTACCAGGTAATAAAGTTTATTGATTTATGTTAATTTTAAAAAATCACTGCTAAGATTTTCAATATATTTATCGTAGAACATGAGCTTAATATTCAAAATCATCCGTCATCTTGCTATACAAGCAGAAAATTCGACCATTCTGCAAGATTAAATAAAACATTTAGTCAGGAATTAAGTTC